GTCAACTAAATTAACTAAATCTGCCAAACCAACTTAATAAAAGCAAATATATTTGTTTTTAATTCACTGGATACGCCACCTAAATCTGTCATAGGTTAGATAAAGTTAGGTGGACAATCGCGTTTGTCTAAACCGTTAGTCTTAATATATAGGAAGAACCAGAGGGTATCCAATTGACTACAGAAAGAGGTTAAGGGGCATGACCAAACAGAAACACAGACAAGTGCATCCGGTGTCACTAACTGACTTCCACTGAAAGAAAATAATTGTTATCTCTTGAAGGCATCTTTCCACACTGCAGTGGAACGCTTCTCAAATGATGTGCTGACGCCAAAATGTAGTCGGACAACGTCTGAGAGCACCTTGCCCGGAAACGATTTGGATTCTGTGCCTCCTAAAGAGGATGCAACAGCTGGCGATATTGTTAATCAAGAGGAGCTGTTTTATGCGGCTGAAAATGACAACGATGGGGAGGACGAAACGGTAGACATCAATTCCACATTGGTTGCTGAGGGCCAGGACGACGCTTCCATAATGTCCGTGCTTCCGCCTGCGCAGCCCAAACCTCTGCCAGAAGAATATCGGATCCCTTCCGAAATTCTCGATTCCGATGGACCTTCAAATGGTCTCCTGGCATTTTCTCTGAGTCTCCGGCGTCTTAACGTCCATGACGATCCGATTTCCCTTCTCGTTCATGTTTTTGAAGCCCGCTGTGTTTTAACCAGTCAGGTTGGCCCGGAGAAGTGGTTTGGTAGGGGAAAGTTTTACGTCAAGGCACGCTTCATGTCTGCAGGTATGTCATGTGGAAGTCATGTTTTTAGACTTGTAAAATAGTCTTCGCGAATTTTGTTGGAATTGACTGTCGGCCTCAGTTTGTATCGCTATAAAGCTCAAAAGCATGCGCTATTCCCCAGACGCACTGAAAACAGGATACAAAACTCGTTTTTATTCTTCAACGTCTTCTGAATGAGGCGCTTACATAAAACATACTAGTGCTAATGGTTACTCGAAAAATGGATGCATGATATGTGGCATGTTTAGGCCGCCAAATGTACGGTAGATGAAAAACACTACTACCTTAACCGATGTTTTTTTTGGAAATTATCGTCATATGTGCACAATCCTTGAGCATGCATACGTTTAGGTTTCAAAATTATTTAAAAAATATCAGTAGCCATACACTTGAGCGGGCGGGCAGGAAGATGGGTTCAAAAACCAAAGTGGCCTTCGGACTTTCCAGTAGTCCGTTTTCTAGTATATTCTTACAGCAGTTCTGCCCTCTGTTGACTACTTTATTGTTCATTTGCCGTTCAAATAATAGTTATCGATTATCAGGTGATGACAATGCGAGCAGGGGACATCTTTACTTAACGAATATTATAATTAAGCTACAAATTGCCTCACATTTTCATAAGGAAGCGTACTTTGCTTTCGCGGAGTGTGCGCTAGATGAGGAACACAGTAAGATCTTTTGAGTAGGCAGATTATCCTTTTGAGTTAAACAGTGCATCTATAAGGAGACCAATTGCTATGTTTTGGTGTCATCTAGTTGTTCCATAATTCGCCTTTGTATTCGGTTTCAAAATTTCCTAGTTTTTTTTCCGTCAGTCAGTGCACTAAATCATTTTTTTAGTTAAGAGCAACATACTAACCGATGCGTATGTTCTCTACCTGTACAGCCCGCTCCTCTCATGGGCAAAGCTTCCCGAAATTCGTGAACTTTAATTTACTCACCGGTGAGCAACTTAAAGTTATCAGATTTCCATTCAGGAACGTAGCGACTACGCAACCACATGCGTACTTAAGTTAGCAGCTCTCACGATCATGGCTTGGTGTCACGGTTGATACAATGATAGCTTTGCACTCCGCCTTCGAATAGTTAATTGTCGTGATTTCATCTTTCGTGTTGCATGTTGGTGTTATAATTACAAGAAAATTAGGCTCAATGTTATCGAACTCGTACCGCTGTAGTATCTGGCAGTATTCTTATCTCATGCTCAATGATTCCTGAGCACTCACAGATACTATAGTCAATTTTCATCTCCATAAGATTAGGAAAAGGGCCACTGCATGAACGAAGGGCATGTTAATTACCCTGACGTCGAGACCTTCATTGCTGATAAATGTATTTGCGTCACGACAGATAGTTCACTCACTCCTTTCCCTCCACCCCCCTCTATCTCAACCTTATAAATGACTACAAATTAATCGTGCTCAATGACCTGCCGATCTCAGTCTTCTATTCGAGTTAGTTTTGAAACATATAAGAAGCAACTACGCAGACGTATCCTCGCGTATGCGGATATTTAAAATCCTTTTCATGTTCTCTTTCAGCAATGAAACGCTCTCCCAGCATGAACTCTGTCTCTTCATTGGACCAACGGATTCTACCTGCATCAAGATTTCCTAAATTAGGTATTAGTCCTGAACCATGTGGACGAACAAAGGCTAAAGGCGCTTGCCGTACGGTGCGTTTCCGACAGACTATCGAAATACCTCTGCCAAAACCATGGAAGCAGTTGGTTGGACAGAATACCGATAACGACACCACAAGCAGTAGCCACTCTCGACCTAGATCGATCTTCTCACGAAAACGATCCATATCTATGTCCGCTTTAGATGAACAACCAAGGGAATTTCAGCTGAAACTGACCCTGAAGCAGCGTGAATCATCGTCAGGGCTGTCAGCCAAGTCCAACAGCAAGGCGTCTGGGCGCAAGCGTTTCAAACTTCCATTTACAAAGAAATTGGAAGTCGGTTCTGTTATAGTCGACTGCACTCCGGAACTGCTAAAACTTATAGCTTGTGGACCAACACCTGGCTCAGTTATTGCACCACCCTGTTCAACTCTCAGGCCTTTCGTTGAACAGGAGTGTGGTTCTGTATCCTTAACTCAGCCTGGTCTCCTTCGTATGGTCAGGGAGATTATTCAGCCCAGAGAGGTAGGGTTCGCCATCTTAATGTTTTCATCTTTTCAGCATGAAGCGACTGGATGCCTGAATTTGGCTCTTCAGTGGAATCCAGACACGATGACCTTGACCTGTCGTGCAATTGAGTGCACCTCCATCAACCTCCCGGCCGGAACTAGTGAGTATAGCATTGATAAATGAAACTGCTTACGAAAAACAAGCAATGAATAACAATCCGGCACTTGAATTGAATAGGAAATATAAAGCAGTCTGAGGGACTTACGCCGTAGGATACACTAGCCGCCCAACGGTATTTTGGTTATGGGATGTTTGTGAACCTAACTTTCACTTTTTCTGTTTTCAAAGAAATGATTAAATGGGCTGCTCATTCTTTTAAACTGCGGGACTGGAAAGAAGCAGTTTCTAGGATAAATATCTTCAAAATTGAAGCTAAAAACACTGCCACGGTGTACGACTTGTTGATACCTGATAAAACATAAATAAATTTAATAATTGACCTAAAGGATAAGAGACTGATCGTAACTCAGATCCATAAGAATCCAAAGGCCTTCCAGTAAAACACCCAGATGATCCAATGAGTTTAATGTCGCGCAACTATTTAAAAAACCCCTATGGACAACAGAGTTCCAGAACGCATAAGTAACTATGCTCTCCTGTGGAAATCACTATAGCACTAAGCAGTTCCAAATGTAAGTCTTTGTCTAAACCTCCTAATTTGCCGTAATAGACTAAATCAACGAGGTTTTATGAAAGGGGGTCACGGCAATTTTATTAATGTCACTCACTTAGTACAAAGTCTGCCAAAACAATGATTAAGTGTGATACTGGCAGTCATCTAGTAGATTCTAGATTGATTGCTTGGACAGTCAGCTTACTGTATTAGAATTGGTGGACTCCGTACGTTGCAGTAGGCTGAGCGGGTAAATCAACCCAAGCGTGATTAAACTCCCGGCTCCCGGTGGGGCGTAGATAGCTCAGTTGGCCAGAGCGTTGGCTCTACTAAATCCTTCCTGTGGCTGATATTGGTTAGAATCCTACCGAAGCCGCCATTTTTTCCACAATTTCGTCAAATGAATCAGTAAAAAGCACTCAGTGCTATTACTCGAAATATACGCATATAGAAGGGCGGTGAGGTTAAGTTCAATGATAAGCAGTCAGTTAGTCAGTGTATTTGAGGAAAATAGGCTTCGCCTTTGGAATATCCGTATCCAGTTTGAATCACAGGACACCGCTGTTGGTATGCGAGCAAAAAATCCCGACATTTAATTTTCATAGACCTGGTCGGTGATATTTTTGGATATTATTATATCATTCATAATGTGCAAAAGCACCAATTTTGGAAATTTACCGCGAATTTTTGAATTGTCAGTTGGTGAAAGTGCGAAATATTTTTTAAATAATCTAAACGAGTGGTCAGCTTTTCTATCACACCTTTTCGACTTTAAGATCTATAAAGTCTCGCATGATTTAGGAATTTGCATATGCTTATTTCCACCCTCTAAACTGTCGTTATTCTTTTGAGATAGGATCATATAAATAGAACCACTAGATACCAAAGACCACATAGGGCGAAACAGGTAACTGGGTGAACTAGGGCACAAACGCCTAGCTCACAATATGTATCGATCAACGGGAATGCTACTCGATCAGCGTCTACTGACGACAGAAACAGCTTTTAACGAACACTCCGGACTAAATCGCTGTGTTCTATAAATTTAAGTTTAAGCCCATCTGTAAATTTGATAATCGCTTCCCCGCTCGTTCGTCCGCCGCTGAGAAATGCGATCACGCGATCCCGACTACAGTCTGTCCTGGAAAGCTGGCTGGAACGCACCATCGAGTTCTGATGGTTCATTGCCGTTCTACCATCGTAGGCAGTACTACCCAGTGGGTCAGAGAACAAATAAATAACGCCTATACGTTCATTCTTCATGCAACTCACATTGATGAGGGCAACGCCAAAAATGAAACACAGTAACCAAATTTACAGTCAAGTGGGTATAGCTGGGACTCACCGGTTATTAGCTCTTGCGATACAGAATAAAAGTGGAGTCTCGGGTGACGAGCAGCTCCACCGACGAGCATTCCAGTTAACGAGCGAGCCAATCACAGAGCACTTGTTTCGATTGACGAGCTTCCGTTCAGTTAACGAATTGTGAGTGCGCGTGCTTGTACCTGTGTCCGCCATTTAGTCTTTTCCCCCGGTCGTGGGATCTTGGTCACTGATGCAGTTCGATTGGCTGCCTTTCGCAAGGCGGGCTTTTTACATGACGAGCTCGCTGCTGGAACGGATTAAACTTGTTAACCAAGGTTCCATTTTATTTTTCTTAATGAACGTCGTTTTTTCTCTATTTTTTTCAGATAACGTCTACGCCGTGTTTAGTCTGATGAACAACTCTGAAGTCCTGCAGACCGTATGCTCAAAGCCAGCTGCTCGATTCTCTGTCAGTGCATGCGAATTTCAGTTAAACGATGATGTCAAGTTCGTCTTGACTACAGAAGGAGGACTGGACAAGACATGCGTTGGCGTGGCGGTAATTGCAGCTGCGGGTTGTCTCAAGGCCGGAGAAAGCCTTATTGGTCGCCTAGTCCTTGGTCCAGACGGGTTAGCATATGGATCAGGACTGCGACACTGGAACCAGATTAGTAGGAAACGAGCAATGATACGACGGAAGCACTGGTTGTGCTAAAGAAGCTGACAGTCTACCCTTTCTCGACAAAGGTTTTTTGTAAAACTCTTTCTCTCTCTCTTTCTATCTCTCTTCCAATATTTTCTGTAAAAAACATACCAGTTTGCTAACTTCAAATGTAACTGGTCATTCAGGAGATTAAGACCACTAAAGGCGGTCGCGTTTAGTAAATCTTTACCTTGTTAATGCTTAGGTTCTTTAAACAAATGTGTGGTCATCGGGAGCTTTGTTTTTATTTAATCCTTAGCCATTTTTCTTAAGCGTCGCTAGTTTATTAAGATATATGAGTAGGTACCTTGTGCAGATGGTTCAATCAATAGCCAAAAGTGGGATTAAAATAACTTGAACTGAGAGGTGCATTTTGGAACAGTGGTACAAACTGGACAATCAATTATAAGTACTCCATTTAAATGCTAATCTTCAACAATGTTAGTGTTCCGCAACTTTCTTGCTCAAAATTACTTCAGCCACTTCCAAGACCCTGCCGTTTAATTGGGTTAGCTCTATATAACGCCTAAGCCTGGTTACCACTCTTAATATTACAGATCCGTCCATAATTTACGCAAACTGTCATTAAACCAATACCACTAGGAATTGGGATGTGGAGATGTAGATAGGACAGTTAACGTGACGTTAACCCGTCACAG